TCTCTCCTTTTTCCTCTTCGTCCCAGTTATTCGTTTACTCTGCTCGCTCCTACTCAAGCTTCCAACTTTCGCTTTATAAGAACGACAAACGAAGATGCTCCACAATGTCCTGTCCAACTCCGATTTTAATTCATTTTTAATTTAATTTTAATTCAATTTAAATTTTATTTTATTTACTAACTTACGTTGATTTTAAGTACTGATTGATATTTTACAATGTTTCTTGGGATTTTATAATGTTTTGGAAAATCATAATATTTTTCATTACTAAATATACATTTATAAAATACATATGTATGCATTTATAAAAATACATAAAAAAAACAAATCCAAAGTCGATTGTAAGAGGATATATAAATTCGATCAACTCCTGAGATTCACCTTGCATTTAAAACCGGAGCTTAATGAACAGACGTATTCTGGCTCTATATGTAAACTGACAAAAGTACGACGATTCTATTATACGCGAGCAGACGGTCGCTTAGCTGATAAAGAGGAGGCAGAAGAAAACGGAAAAGAGTGTCGCGCGATACGTACAGCTGGAGCGAAGACTGCGAGGAAGAAGAGAATAACGAAAAAGAAGATGCTTTACGCAGGGAGGTTATTTCCGCCAGGACCATCCAATCGTGAAACGTGCCGAGATCTACTCTCAGAGGGAGCGGAGAGGAAGAGAGGAAGAAAGAGAGAGAGAGAGAGAGAGAGCGTCGAAAGCGCAGCGCTATCGCGACTCCCGGGTCATCAGGCCGAACAGAATCCGCCACCGAACAAACTGACGGATGTACGAACGGATGGACGAATGATCGGCCTGCCGGTCGGTCGGTCGGCGGAAAGAGCGGAAAATGGATAACGGAGGGGAGAAAAAAAAGGAAACGCCGCAAGAAAACGGCAGGCCGAAAGAATCCGCCGGATTTCCGCTCGCCGTTAAAGCCGCTTATCGAGAGTATCGAGACTGGCGCGTTGCGCAACGCCCGTACTATATGTTTCTCTGTGTGTTTCTACATATGTATTTGTGTGCGGTGTGCGCGGGTACGCGCGGGTATGTCCGATAACGCACGATGGAAGTCGCGAGAGAGGAAACGGCGGATAGATGAATAGATGTGTTCCATATGAGTTCTCCGAGGCGCTCCCTCTCTCTCCAGGCTCTCTCGCGGCATCATAAAACGGCAGAATAAATTCTAAGGGAAGAGTAATCAAGACGCGCGTTACGTATAAACGACACGAACGAGATCATCACATTTACGGGAAAACGTCGATGCGCGATTTCAATCTCGATCTATCTATATGCCCGAAAAGACATACATATGTTCACAATATAATGACTACAACTGTAATTATAACTATAAAAGAAAAAGGGAAAAGGGAACGAAAAGATGTTTGTAACCACAGAACGCTCGGCGGGTCACGAACGGCGGACAGGGCGTCATCACGCGAAATTGGCATGCGAATCTTCGTGCATGGCTCGAGAGCCTCTGTGAGGCACGCCACTGTTCCTCTGGCCAAATGTATCGCGCGATCGCGCGCTGAAAATCCCCTCGACGTTTGCGAGCTCACGTTCTGCCGTATCGTTCTTCCGCCCCATGTTTAAGCCGCGCCGTTTCCTTTTGCGGCGTGATATCGGCGCGTGTTTCTCCGTCCCACCGACGACGTGCATCCGGTCGCCGCGGCCGTTCAACAAAAGAGAGACCCGGGCGCAAACTGACCTGCGCTAACTGGAGTTTCGTGAGACTCGATGAAGGCACGGGATAATCGTCAGGTCATCCTCGGGAAGACACGCGTCTTCGCGAATATACACGGACCCGACGACACGCTCCATGATTGGACGATACAAGCGGAAGTAACTTTCACGGTAAATCTCGATTTTTCCGCCGGTCGCTTTGTTTGCGAAGCTGCCGGTTTTATTCGGCGAGACCGAACACGTGCATTCTTCGAGTATTATAGTCGAATAATCGCTAACAGCAGCCGATTCTATTTCTTAAGCCTTAAAGGTTTCGAGAAAAGTTCTAAAACCTTGCTTTAAAGCCCATGCCTAAAGAAAGAAACCGAGGGAGAAGAGGTAAGGAAAAAATATCTCAGAGCAGAAGTTTATACAATAAATTGCAATATTTCCTCGAATCACACCGTTTGAAAAGAACTACATAATTGTAAGAATTTTACTTCTTTATCTAGTTGAAATATATAGAAAATTAAAACAAATTAAAACAAGTTACAAGTTCGAATTCAAAATAAACCTAAAAAAAAATATGAAAGTTGTACCGCGCTCGTTTTTCAGTACCGGATATAACGTCGAGCGTCGAGTCGCTCGAGGAAAGACGATCAGCCGTTCAGAATCCGCGCGTCGTTCTTTCGAAGAACAAAGACACACGGCAAGAACGCGTTGTGCAAAATCGTGCAGGACATGTTCCTAGTGAATACTGGCGCGAAGCGAAGAGCAACCGCCAAAAAAATGTTGAGAAATATCGTTAAGAATTCGGCGACGCGCGACGAGCGAGAGCTTCGAGCCGAACCGAGCTTCGAACTCGAGTAGTGTCTTTCGAGCTCGATGTCCTGCGGAGAATATCGCGTGGGCCCAGATACGTGGTCGGAGCCACGCAAGAGCCACGACCAAAATGTTCGTCGCCTCCCTTCGCGCGATCGCTCGCGACTTGGACGAATCTCAACAACAAAGCTACGTATACCGTAGAAAAGAGGATATATATATTTCTGAATGGCGAGAGGACTATAGAGAAAAGAGTGTGGCATAGATATGATAAATTATATCTTATATATAAATTGTAATATAAAATATATCGTAATATAAATATAATAAATAATTGTGCTATGTAAACTCAATTCCGATATTCGATAATTCAAGCGAATCTCTTCTTTCAATCTCATTCTTAAATTGCGTTTCGCGCTGTAACTATTACACATCTTTTTCATAAGCGCATTTCAATTTTTACATTAAAAGAAGACATCTTCAGAATCTCGATATCTGTAAAATTATAGATATCCTCGTTTTCGGACGAATAAATCACGGGATGCTGAGAAAAGCGTCTGCAAAAAAAAGACTAAAAAAATGTCACGCGGAGCGGTGTTAAGCCAAGCCAAGTCGAGAGTCGAGCCGAGCCGAGCTGAGCCGAACTGAGCCGCGCGGTGACAGAGTTGGCCGCGCGTTAAATCATCGATCGCGGTGCGTGGGTGCGCCGGTGGGAGAATTTCGGATTTTTGTCCGTCGGGAATTTGCGTGCCACTAATGGCATCGTCGACGCCTACGGGATCCGAGACTAGGCAACCTGCAACGTTTCGCGCGCGCTACCGCGTAAGGCGAGGCCGGAGAGGCCAGCTACCCACCCGGTTCCTCCTACGGGAAAGAACGGGACGAAGAGAAGAGAGGAAAGGAAAGGAAGGGATAGGGGGAGGGAGAGAGAAAGAGAGAAAGAGAGACGGACTCTCTTCGGTCAGTCGGATCCACCTACGGGAGCGAGGGAGAGCGGGACTGAGAATGCCAGTCGATCGGCCGGCCCGGAGCGGTTAATATGTCCGCCCGCTCGATCGACGCGATCGATCGACCAACTGAATCGCCGTATTTCCGCCGAACGAGTTCACCTACGCGCGCGCCGATAGTTCTCAATTACCGCTCTCCGCTCCGGTCCGCAGGACTGGTCCAGTCGCGACTTCCCCCGTCTACCGTCGTATAATACAAGTTCTGCATACACAGGTTGGCATCCGTTTCTCTCTTTCTCTCTTTCTCTCTTTCATTCATCCTTTCCACGTGCGAGCGAATTCAATTTTCACCTCGAGTCTTCAGCGTAAATTTCATTAAAATCTCTCCGGCTACCGCGATTAAAATAAATACGCCCATCGTAATTATTTTTGATGCAACGCGTCGCTGACAAGTTGCGCCGGTTTTTCACGCAAACACTTGTCCGACGTTCGTATTTTATTCTCGTGAAGAATGATAGAAATACTCGGGAGGTATTCGCGACACCTTGTTCCCTGTAAGTAAAGTCTTTGGTAATCTCTTCTCGTTCATAATTAAAGAAAGGATCAGACTCTGTTAAGGTCCCTAATACGTTAACGTTAGTAGCAAAAATGCGCAAACTAAAAGATAGGTACCTGTCATTGACGCTCGCACAACGTGAATATTATCGATCTCCCCGGCGATACATTCATATTCTATAACGATGCGAACGGCATCGGCACACGAAGAGGCATATGTACATTGCGATTCGCGCAATGAGTTTCAGGGGTAGAGAGGAAAAAGAAATGTTAAGTCAACTCACGTCCTTGCTCGGGACGCAGAGCGGCGTTCCTTCCTTGACGATTCCAGCCTCGACCATTACGCCGATCACGATCGGATCCCTCGAGTTGAATACGTACTGAAATCCAAACGGGCTCACGTTTAAAAAGTCCCCGAGTTCGGAGATCGCCGGTGACGTCGCACCGGCGCGGGCGCGGCGTAAATCCCGCTTGTTTATCGCGTATCCGTTTCAACCCTGGCGAAGCGAACGCGCATATAACTCGGATATAACTCACCTGCGGCAGAATCTTGAGCTTGCACGGAAACACGGCGATGTGCTTGTTCTCATCCCGCTTGCGCTGCTTCAGTTCCTCCCTGTAATTGGTGAATTTGTCGAACAGGTGATAAATAATGTCAGCCTGGAAGATTTTAACGCCCAGGGAGTCCGCGAGCTCTTGCGCGTCCCTCTCGATTTTTACATCGAATGCGAGAATCGTGGCGTATCTGCGGACAAATTAATTAAGTGGCAATTGATTAATTATAATTCGCTGTCGGCTATCCGTCGCTCTTTTCGATAAAAGGAAATTGAGGAAGTATCGAAAAAGCGTAAAATTTTCTTTCATAAAAAAATTTTTACACAACTTTTACAAGTTATTTCGTATACTAAAAGTTACAAAAAGAATAAAATTGATATTTATTTTCACTCTCACTTCTTGGAGAACTTAATAGAGGCAGACACGATCGAGAGTGACAATTTTACTGTCGAGATGTACTCACTGGCTGTCGTGCTCCAGCATGATAGAAGCTTTCATGACGTCTTTCTTGACGACCGGTCCGATACGAATTCCGGAGTACTGTGAACAAAGACAAAAATGTCGTTAATGAAGGAGAGATTGTTAAACGCAAGAAAGATATATATCAAGCAGCATCGCGAACGAATGCGGTTTGTCATTACGCAAGTTGCTCTGATTTTGCTCGACAGCGTGCAATGACTGTCTCTCTCATCTTGGCAACATTATTACATAGTTTCTTGCGTCACGTTATTTCGCATATTGTTACGTAATGCAGGGAGAGAGGGGGGAGAGAGAGAGAGAGAGAGGAGTAAACGATTGCAGTAACAATCTAACGGCAGGAGACGCGAATCGCACTTGTCATCTCTTTAACGCGAACCAGTTTCTTGCGGGCAATGTAACTTTTCATCGACGCTGATATTCGTCACGCGTGACCATGTGAATGCGCAAAAAGTGCCTTGCAATCCATTTGCTCGGACGAGGAGTAACCGTTCGGAAGATAAACGGGGAAGTCACGAGTAGACTAGTCGCGTTGCCGTCAAACAAATGATATATCAAATCTCTTGATATATCTATAAAGAAATTTAATGAAAAACCAGCTGAAAAGAATTACTATGGAGAGTATTTCTCGACGACGAATAACTATCATTTAAATGTAAATTAATCGTAATAAGATTAATATATAAATATTAATAACTGTTTTTCAGTAAAGTGGCTGGTAGACGACGAGCGATGCGTTTCGCAATCCGTTTGGATCGCCTACGTTCAGTTACCGGCGACCGAATCTCTGGGAATCATTGCCACCGAAACGCCACGGATCCCGCGAGCCTCTCCGTGTGTACGGATCCGCGTGTGTATATACCATCAGGCAAAAATAACCCGTGACGCATGCATGCCGCCCAGATTCGGCCGGACGGTGCAACGAGACGGGACGCGGCGACACGAGACGCGCGACGCAACACGTTGAAATAAACGCGACGGACGCGGCGATGCAGTTGCAAACAAGCCGTTTCGCGGCTTTACCGAGAAAAGCCGCTCCGCGAGTCCGCGCCCGCGCGCGCGGTCGAGGAGCACCGCGAACCGCGAGGCGCGCGCCGCCGTAGTCGGGATTAAAGCCGACCGGAGTATAGAACGAGTATAGAACGAGCGTAAGCTGTCGTAAGTCGTAACGTTACAGGATACACAAGAAGACGTCCCGGGTCTACTGAGAGATACTGACAATGAGAGAGAAATAAATATCCGTCCAAGATCTCTGTAAAGATCTTTCGGATCTTTTACGTAAATCCCGTGCATTAATCGCGTGCAAATTAATGAAACTCGATTAGTAATTATATCTCGGTATTTTTATTCTCGGTATAACTCAATATGCAAATTTAATTCTGAATTACTCCTGTAAGAAAGAACACACGTAAGCCGGTTTAATGGACATTTATATACAAGCTACCTCGAAAGCTAGCTATGTTGATTGTAACTAATTATATAAGTACACTGAATAAAAAGTACACATTCTCATTTATTCCTTTAATCAAATTTGTACCTTTAACGATTTCGTCAATAACGAATACGAATATGAAATATGTATGTTACGACAAAACTCACGATTCACGATCCGGCAACGCTAAGTTTCCACTGATTGTGTTTTTTTACGTTAAAAATAAATGATATCTAATATATCACTATTAAGTATTCTTAATATCTTTTAAAATAAATATAAAGAAGCGATTAAGAGTACATACGAGTTTATTTTATTTCAGATAACTGGCAGATTGTATTGCTGCACATTACATTCCGTCTTAATCATCAGCCTTCTGATCTTCGCTACGATTAGACTCGCGCGTCTGCCTTCCGGTTTCGAAACGGATATCGGTTACCCGCTGCCGATGTGGTCAATGTCTATAACACGATACTCGATATACGGGATTAATTGCCGCGTTAAGAGAACTGCGATAGAGTTAAACACACTATAAGTATAGTGTAACTTTCAGATTTTATCTCGCATCGCGCGTTCCTCTTTTACTCCTTATTATTCATTACTCTCGGTTAGGTACTTGTGCACGTAAACAAGATCATTATGTATGTATACATATAAACCGCTTGTCCACTAAAATATCTGCGCTGAGACACTAATAAATATGTTGAGATTTCATAATCGCTGAATTAAATGTATTAATATTAATACAATTAAATTATCATCCTAGAAAGAATCTTGCAGATTGTTTCTTTCTTTTCGTATTATAGATAAATAATTTCTTCTTATCTTCTCTTCTTTCATAACAAACAAATAACAAAATTCCCATAAAACTTGCAAATATTTTAACTTGCAAAAGCATTTGATAATAATTTTGCATTTCAAATACACGTCTCTCTCTCTCTCTCTCTCTCTCATTTTCATTTCGAGCGCACCCTCACGAACCGCATCCACCGCGATTGTAACGATAATTATTCTTGCAGGTATACAGACCGTGCACACAAATGGTAGTTCCTATTTACGGGCCAATTCTCGAGCCGGTACCAAGCGGCTGACGGAGGCGCACGATCGAGGGGGAACGAAGTAGAGACAAACGAACGAATGAACGTACGAACGGATGGGCGAACGAGCGGAAGATGATACGTTCCCGAGGACTTTCCAAGATAAGCGTGTTTTAGAACTTCCGGCGCGCGTCGCGTCGCATTCCGATCCTTATATCAGATACGCCCGCCGCCAATATATTTTTTTCCTCAGCCTTCTATTTACTACATGTTGCAAGGTACATTTGCAGCTTCGTGGAATGTCCAAGAAAAAAAATAAAGCGTTGAACAAAAATTTCTGTACCAATTCCATAATGCTCCATCTGGACTAATTCCATCTGGATCGACATTTAGCTCGTATATAATATCCAATTAACGATTAACGAAACATTATTAAATACTGGCAATTATCACGATCAATAATGCTTACAATATAATTTTATCCGATTTCTTATTTCATTCAAATAATCATTTTGACTGATGAATTACGTCAACGCGGCGAGATTTAGACGACAGTCGTCACGAAATCTCGATCTTCTTCTCCGTACACGATCAAAATTCGTAGCGAGTCGCGAGTTGACGATACTTGACTTTAGAGGAACGGATGCTCTCGAAGAAGAGGAGGCGGGTGGATGGGGAGGCGGACAGGAGGTGAGAGAGGTGCCGCGGTGGAAAAGAAAAAAAACAAGTCGAGTGCGGCGGGGGGAAGGGGGAAAGGGGGAAAGAAAGGAGAGGAAAGACGAGACGAGAGAAGGAGAGAGATCTAGTACGACGAGAAAAGGCGGACACGGCAGATGTTGCCGGCGAAAGAAACGCCGCTGGTAATGCTGGTATAAGCGGGAGGAAGTTGGGAGGAAGAGTAAGACGGCGAGGAAGCGGGACGAAAGGGGGTCCGGCGCATGGTACGATGGAGGGGGGGGGGGGGGGGGTTAAAGGAGGGCTCGGGGAATCGGGACGGGGGGATAGAGAGGGAGGGAGGTGCTTCCGGCATTTAAAACCAGCCGTCGGGGGCACGGATCCTCTTTAGCCTCTCGTCGTAACTGCGGCACGCTGCGCCGAAGAAGGAAACGCTAATTTATTAAACTCGCCTCCCATTCCGCTCCTCCTGCATATCCTGCCCGCGCGAGCGCGCGCGATTAGCGTCACCGAAGGACGAGCGCGGCTGGGGCCTTTTGGCGAATTTCGGTTTTTCGCACCTTCACGAAGTTGCCATGATCACGCGGTGATCACTGAGAAAGAAAGAGAGAGAGAGGTGCGTTCCATATGCGCGAAGCAACGATTCTAAAGCGTACGAAGTACGCAGGAAAATATGACTTACTATCATTTTTCTCGAATTCTTATATGGCTAATGTTTTTCATTTATCGTAAAATTGACTAACAAAAGGTATTGCAAAGAATTGTAAACGCGTTGATAGAAAGTATATGCGTAAAAAAAAAGAATTATAGATTTGCAACAGCTTAGAATGAGACTCTCAAGAAACTTACCGTTTACCGAAAAATAAATGATTGAAAGGAAAAAAAATCTTTTGGTAAATTGATTTTCGCGAGAGAGGAAGCGAACAGCAAACTTACATAATTTCCGTACAATCTCAAGTAATCTTTACATCAATAGAATCACAATCTCTAAAATTCGATTGTAAGAAAGACATGCAACATAAAAAATAAATAATTATTTCTTTACAAAAAGGCTCTATCAAACAAAAGCTAATAAAATATTTAGAAAAACAAGCCAAGAAGAATTGTTGTGAGATTAAGAGAATCCAGTAGGGCAACGCTCGCGTAATCCTAATTTATCTTCGAGGTTAATTGAAGATGAGCACGTCAATCTGCAGTTTTCCTCGATCGCTTCATGAAAACGCGCTCGCGACGCGACGCGGCGAAGCGTGCACGGGCGCTCGGTCTCTCGCTCGCACGCATCCGCTCCCATGTCCCCAGCATATGCAGGCCGCGCACTCCTCATATGCCGCGGTTAGAAACAATGCGAGGAAACGAGCCATCTTTTCCTGCTGCACCGGCACCGGCACCGGCACCGGCGCGGAAGAGGAGCGAGCGCTGCGCTTCCGCCCGCCTGTTACGCGAACGGCCGAATGAGCCAGGTAGCCGATCGGCTAGCCTCCGAAACTCCAAATAGTCCGAACAGTCCGAACCCTGCCAGATGCCGCGAAATTCTTCAGAATAGCGAAGGAATTCCGTGCCACCGGAAGTCCCCGGCAACAAAACTTGAGAATTTTCCCATTGTACCGAAATTCGCGCGCGCGTCCTAAGTGTCCTAACGTTCTAGGCAGGTTCTTGAAAAGCGAGCGCCTTCCTCCTCAAGTTGAAATTGTACAAAAGTGAAGCTCCAGCGGCAACAATAAAATATTGTAATTTATTTCGAGGTTTATCGATACCGCGACAAAAAGACAGCGTCCTTAAATTGTCCTTAAATTGAAAAGGCTTGCGGTTGAGTGGTTGAGTCACAACCAGTGGGACGAGTGGGATTTTCGGGCATCGCGATAATAAATAAAAGAAAAAAGGAAGAGAAGAAAGCGATCGTCTAACGGGGGGGGACCGACGACCGACAACGGTAATCCCAGATTGGACGGATTCACCGGGATAATCCGAGGAAATGAGCGAGAAATGTGTCGTCGCCAGCGGAGCGGAAATCCTATAAATTATGGATTGTGTAATTTGTTAGACAAGAACGATTGATATCGCAGTGGCGGTTATGCGTTATGAAAATGCATTAGTCTCGTTTCGAGCGCGAGGGAACTCGGGCCTCTTCTTAATGCATAACTGGCGTGTAAGAAACTACTGTCGTGCCGAGCGTTCGGAAACAATATGAGGAAGCGAACCATCTTTTCCTGTTGCGCTCGCATTGAATCGGAGCCGAGAAGGCGGAGAGCGGAGTCCGCTTGTGACGGCACGGCGCGCTCTGCTCTGCTCCGCTCCGCTCCGCTCAGCTCCGCTCCGGCTCCTCTCCGGCTCCGACGTATGCGCATTCAAGAAAATCCACTGAATAAAGTCAGCCGCGAACATATATACAGGGTGGCAAAAAGTGATTCGCCTTTAAATCACCTTTATCAAGGTTATTAAAGATAAAAATCCTTCTATATTATTAGTTGATACTTACATACTACATGAATCTTAGACCGAAAACGGCTTTTATCTTATTCGAATTATACACACATTCTGCAGTAAAGTAATAATTTTGTCAACTGTCAACGTAACGCGTAACCTCGTCGTATTACTATTATAATTTCTGAATCGACAACGTTAATTTCTCGATTGCCGATACAGAAAATCTGGGAATCTCGCCATCCAATTAACGCGGGACGCGCGATCGACACGCGAGATCACAACACGTTAATCGGCGATTCTGTACCGCGACGATAGCCGTGGTATTACGCAGTTTCGACGAAAAGAAACCCGATATCAGTCGTACTCGCGTCGCTGCGATCATTATGTTAGTAATACCGCCTGCTGTTACATAACGGCCATCATATGACGATTTCAGCAATAACAAAATGCCGATGGTAACTCTGCTATCGCGAGAGTTAGGCCAGCTCGGCGCGAGTGCCATGGTCGCGATTAATTGTCGTTAGCAAGTTGCCACGCCGCGCTCTATCCACCAGACAGGTTGTCTTATTCACACCCGCTATTGCCTATAGGCAGCGTATAGGCCTATATAGGCTAATCGTATAAGTACTATAGGTAGTCGTCAATCAAGGCGCGCGCGCGTATGGCTGGCAGGTTCCAAGAAGAGCGCGTAAAACCCCGCGGTCCCGATTAAGCTGCATATTCCGATCCCGTTCGGCTAAACGGAGAGACGAGAACAGGAAAGACCGTCGCGTCGCCCGATAAGAATCGTTAATTCAACAACCGCCATTGTGCATCGATCGCGGCGGAGAGGCGTCGCGTCGTATCATTTAATGTTTAATTAACAGATATACAATATACATGTAATGTGATTTACGTTTTACCGAGGCAACGCCTTGAAAAACATCGTCATGGTCGCCGAGTAATCTTGACCTAAAGAGACTTTACATTGATTCTTCTTTATGTTACTCATTGAATTCACGTCAAAAGTTATGACTTCCTGTTGTTGTGGCGGTCGCGACAGGTATATATAAAACAACGGGGTATATAAAAAGACTATACGCTCTCTACAGTTTATATACAGACTTATTGTTAGCGAAATTAAAGATCGCACGCTGTGCAATAGCGTGCCGCGCGTTGTAATAGGTATATATATCGTACGATCGAACAATTTCAACAAATGACCTCCCGGGATCACTTCGCTATTTGACAGATACGTAAACGAATTCTTCAAATGAAAAATTAATTCGTCAAGACGTACGCGATATTTGGAAAATAACGGCTCAATTATAATATTTGATCCGCACGTCCAGACAACAGGAATTAATGGGCGCAGAAACGCTCCCGATCTCGACCCGGTTTCGGTTTCGAAGCAAAATATAATATAGCAAAGTATAACATAAAATTATAAAGCGACAAGAATGAACCTCCGCTATCTATCTCACAATCAACGTTCAACTCCGGCAAGCCGAGACGAGAGGTCAAAATCAAGACGCCGCGCGCCGCGCCGCGCTGCAGGCTTTCATTCACGCGCGGTGCGGCGCGGCGTCGCGCATCGCGCGCCGAATGAATTCTGCTCCGTTTCCTTGCAAGCCTCGCGTATCCTCGTTACTTTATTTCCGCTATTTCTCGCGCCAGTATCCGTCGATGCTACGATTCCTGAATCCGCCCGCCCGCGCCCGTCCATCCGCCGATCCACCCACGGTGCCCGCGCGCCGAGTGTGGGCAGTTTCCTGTACGTTGATCACGTATTCCTTTTTTTTTCTTCAGCCTACACACGTCCGCGGGCGTGCGAGCCTCCATGTTGGCAAAAACGAGGCATTCCAAGAGCGGGAGAGACTTGGAGAGAGAGAGAGAGAGAGAGGCACCACCATCGCGTGCGTGTCTGCGTGAGTTTAATCTGCCAACCCTTCTCATCCCTTTGCTCCCTCGTCCTTTCCTCTTGCGACTCTGGCCACACTTGGTGATACTTGGATTCTTCCTCCCTCTCTCCCTCCCCAACCCTTTTCGCGCCATGGAAACGCCGTGTCTCTGCTCTATGTACACGTGAGGAAGTGGCGAGAATAGGAGGGCAGCGGAGGGAAAGGGGAAGGGGATCGTACGTGCGTGTCTCTCGCGTGTGCGTGCGATAAAACTGACGTCACGGGGCCACGTGATCGTGCAATCGCGGTGGGGGGAGCCCATTCATAACCCGAGCAAGGACAGGCTTAAGGCCGTTTCGGACGGTGTGTTACATCGAGCTGAAGATGACAGCAAATTTTTTCTTGCTCGTTCTCTCTCTCTCTCTCTCTCTCTCTCTCTCTCTCTCTGCACAGCTACTTGTCGCAAAAAATACGGACTTTTGAACGAATGATCGTCCGCGGCCTCGAGGGCCCGAAATGGCAAAATGTATGCTCGCGGACTTGAGCGGAATCGTTTCCATTACTAGATTACTTATACGGTCATTATAGCGTAGCTGGAGCTGGTTGTGAATGATATCTCGGTTCCGAGATAACACGGGACATTTTTGCCATTCTCTCGTTGGTATGCTCTTATGTAAATATACAAGTTTGTTTCTCCGCGATTGTACGGGAAATGGGGATGGGACAGGCGCGATTACCGCACGGACGACTGTAACTATTATAGTGTAACTTCCTCGTAAATAATATACGCGCGGTCCGCGTGTGTATACCTGTATGCGTGCGTGCGTTTACCGAATACAATATCTAGCTTCTATGGAAACGATTCGCGCACGATCGGCACGAATCAAATTTCAGAATGTCCATTATGTTTATCAAACGTTATCGATGGGGATTTACGTATAATCGCATCACGCGATAGATTACCCGATTTCGTATTGTGAATGGTGTCCACGGGCGCGCGTCCGCACGCTTTACTCCTTTTAAATTAAATGTTAATCGAGACGCCGCGTGGATCGGAAAATTTTCGAAAGACAAAATTCCAAAACCGCACGCTCCAAAACTTTGGTCGATGCACAAATGATGATGCGATGAAGTTATAAAACACCCTGTAGAAGGCTGTAGAGGCGTGCCCACGCGGTTGGACAGCGCGACTGATAGCACGATGGGGGAGGGGGAGGGGAAGGGGGGAGGAGAGAGATGAGAGATCACGGGTACAAGCACCGTGTGCGACCAATGAGCCGTATCCTGCTAAACTGTTAAGAAGGAAGTGGTTCGTTGCTGCTGCTGTTGCCGCTGTTCTTTCTCCATCTGTCTATCTATCTAGCTACCGATCTATCTGTCCGTCTCTATCTCGCTGCTCTTAATCCTATCTACGCACGCTCGCCGATATACATATGTCTATTTTATTTATTTATACATCCGCGAGTCTCGATCTTTTTCGAGGTCTAACATCCTTTCCGCGCTTATTATACGCGCAACGAATATAAATCGGAATCGTGAGAAATATACATCTGACTAAGAATTAATTTTCCTCGATGATACAAATAAATTGTAAGTCATTTTTAGAATTATGAGGATAACATATTGCACTTATATATATATATATATACTATGTATGTAGATAAGTTTAATAAATACTTATATTGACTTTAGTTGCTGATAAGATAATAATCAAGATAATATATCAAGTGGCAATGATATCACACACCCACATACATTATACTGAGATATTGTTCAATAAATACTTACAATTAGTAAAAGAAACCGCAGTATCGGTAGAGACGAGATTTTCATTAGTACTTTCATTTTAATAGTATAAACAAAAAAATAAGAGTATGAGACTATAATAATACCAAGTATTATATATGAAACATCAGTGAAAAATTATCGGAAATCTTATTACTCAATGCAAGTGATTATATAATGTAACAACGATTACTATTCATTTCTTTAGCTTGGATCTCCAAAGAAATATCAAAATTATAACGTCAATTAAACGACTCTCAACTATCTAATATATGATAATAATCATGCAATATATTCGGTGTCCGTGAAACGCATACTGGCAGTAGTCGGAAGTAAAAAAAATATTATATCACTGTACTGGTATTGTGATATACACGAATGTGATATAGGTATATAATGTCGCATGCACGCAAAATAAAAAACTGTTCTGCAGACAAGTACTTACCGGTATTTTGCTGCTTTTCAGGAAGTCCAACAACGCTTCAAGAGCTCCCAAGGTTGACGCCTGAACGTAAACTCCTCGTTCAGCTAGTCGAATGTTTCCTAGAGCACTCGACAATTCCTTTCCTATTTCTTCTTTCAAAACGTCTATTTCATCTGGTTTTTGTGCAACTTGCAGATTTAATCCTATATGCAAATATTAACTTGTGTTATTCGTTTTATTCTTAAGAACAAATATTTGAAAAAAAAAAATATATATATATATGTATGTTATATATTACAAAGCAAAAGAATTAATCTTATTGATTTTTTACAAGTACATTACATACCAGCAATGGCCTTTTCCAAATCTTTAGCAGCAACTTTCACTCCTTGAGCTGCCTTAACTTCACGATATTCGATATATGCATTCTGGAATAAAAAATATATGATGCCATAAATATTATTTTCTAAAATCAAGTATGCAGGGAGTGGGATATCGCGTGGCCTTGTGTAGGAAAGGCGGACTCATAATTGCCGAGTCTCGAGATCCCTTATTCTAGAGAGATTTTTAATTCGTAATCTTCGTAAGCTTAGGGTTTAGGAAAACCTGACAGAAATCTTTCCTTGCTTTCCTCCAGTTAAAAATTGTACACATAGCTGACAACCACATCATATAAAACATTGTTGTAAATGTTCGTAAAGAGGAAGAAGATCAAATCTTTAGAATAAGCCAAGATCCACTCAGAGTTGTAAAGACAATGTTGATTGATTTATTGATTGATGGTACGCAAGGAATAGTATAATAATTGTGATGATATTTCATCATCTTAGAGTGCAAAACACTGAAAGATTACCTTAACTCGCAATTCCTTTAACGGCTGCGGCATAAGAAGCGAGCGAATTTGTGTTACAATAGGTCCGTCCGTACCAGCGATGATGACTGTATCACCTTCTCTTAACATGCCATTGACTAGAATACAGTCTATCGTAGTACCAAGTCCAGGCAATGCTTTGACTTCTAAGACGGTAGCTTGTAGCTCTTCGCTGTACATCAATCTTTTAGCCAGAGGACCCTGACAGGCATCAACTATTAATGCCAACAGATTGCCCATACCTTCGCCTGTATATGATACAGTGAGGTGTAAAAAGAATTCAGATATTCCCAAATGTTATGTTTCTATCTATTAGGTCTGTATATTTGTATGTTGTTATTACCTGTTATAGCACTGGTAGGAACTAACGACACGTATTCTCTCGGATCCGGATTTTCGTAATACACTGCCGCATTCAGACCTTGCTCAGCAAATTGTACAATGATATCCTTCGACCGCCTCTCAAATTCTCGCTGAGTATTAGATTCTTGATTCTTCACTATATCTTGAACATCCTTACGATTCATGGTCTGCCAATCGTACAATCTGAGAAAATTAAATTGTCATGACTTTTATAATGCAACTTTATAATGCAGCTAATATCATGACGTAGAATGCAAATTAATCAATCGCAAATATCTCAGAGTTATTAATTATTATACATAATGCGAAATTACCTGTCGATTTTATTGAGAGCGACAACAAAAGGACATTTTTTTGCTTTCAATAAATTGATACTCTCTATAGTTTGCGGTTCCAACCCATGCATAATGTCTACAACTAAAATTGCTATATCACAAAGAGAAGACCCTCTGCTCCTGAGATTACTAAACGATTCGTGACCAGGTGTGTCTATGATCAAGAGACCAGGAATTTTAAATTTCTTGTCGGCAAACTAGAAGCAAAAAGATAATTGTTAAAGTACGTTAAGTACATCAAGTACGTTGCAATATAATCAGAAATCCAATATTTGAAGATTCAGATCTCAAGTGAACACTTACGCCCTTTACATGCTTCGTTGATTCTTGGATAGCTTCAATCGGCACATTAGTAGCACCAATTTGTTGAGTTATACCACCAGCTTCTCCGTCTTGTACATTCGTTCTTCTCAATTTGTCCAGGATTTTCGTTTTGCCAGTATCGACGTGTCCCAAAACACAGACAACGGCGGCCCTCAAATTATCCAAAGATTTTTTCTTCTCTGCCTCTATACGGCGATTCTGAATTCGTTCCCTTGCACGTTCCTTTTTACGTGCGGCATCTGGCATTTTATCCTCCACTTCGCTATCGTCGTCGCTCTCGTCGTCGGATTCAGATTCACTTCCGCTTTCGCTCTCTGTATCGCTTTCGGATGATTCTTTCTTTTCTGGTTCAGCCGAGGTTGGAACTTTTTGACCAAATTTCTTCACTTTTTCAGGTGTCTTAAGAATATCGTCTGATTTATCTGAAATTAATTAAAATTCGAGTACTTCAATGTATCATTATACAGTGTCATAAGTCTCTGGACGGAATATAATTCTATAATCTATATATAAAGCAATACCTTCCTCTTCCTGTTCATCATCAGTAGTCTCAGCATCCCACGAATCCTTAACATCGTCTTCTTCCTTCTTTTCCTTTACTTCCTGTACCGGTTCATCTACTATTTCTACTTGTACTTGAGCCGCGGATGTTTCATTATCCTCAATCTTTTCTTCCTCTTTCTTCTCTACACTAACTTGTTGCTTCATTTTATTTGGTCTAATTCGTGTTCCTAAAATAATTCCAATAATGAATACTATGACTTTAATTTCTCTGCAAATATTGTGCAAAAAATATGTACAACACCTGGTCTAGGTTTTTTCTCTCCAACATCTGGCAAATCAAAACCTTGAGCTTTAAGTGCCTCAAGCATCGCTTGTGCCCTAGCTCTGTCTTGTTTTTGTTTCGTTGTTAAGAATTTTCCTTCTGCCTTCAATCTCTCTTTTCGTTGTTTCTCTTTCAATTTCTTCTTTTCTTTACGCTCCTGTTCAAGTCGCACTTGCTCCGATCTTGCCTGCTCTCGCAATTCTTCCTGCCTTATCCTTTCTTCTTCTTCATGCTTCAATCGTTCTTCTTCTTCTTTCAATTTTTTCAAAGCTTCCTGCATAGCGGCAATAGTTTTCTTTCCAGGTCCTTTACCTATCGCAAAAGTCTATTATTAGAAATACATTCGTATAGATTCGAAAAACAATCATCCAAGCAATATATGTTAGTAACTAAAATTACCTTTTTCTTTAGTTTCTTCCTTACCACCTTTCTTCTTTTTCTTCTTTGTACCATCTTCAGTCTCAGCAACGTCACCATCGGCTTCTACGCTATCCTGATCCTTCTTTGCTGATATAACTTTATCATTTTTCTTTTCTTCAGAAGCTGCAGTTTCGTCATCCTCTTTCTTGTTGCCACCTTCCTTTGCAGTTTCCTATTTTAATGAAAATTAAATAATACATCTCATTAGTAAGAAATACATTAATAATAAATTCATTTTTAAGCAAAAAAATTTTACATAAAAAGCATTTACATAGTGAACAAATTATCTCATTGTTATCTTTCTTACCGCTTTTTTCTGAGCTAACTTCTTTTGCTTCTCCCTTTCTTTCTTCTCTTTTTTCTTTTGTGCCGCCGTTTTTACAGTACTAACTTCAACGTCCCTGTCAGTATTGTTTAATTCTGATTCTACAATATTATTGTCCATAGTTTCGTCAGTATCGTCTTTGATATCGTTCTTTTCAGTCTTTTTCTTATCCTTCTTCCCTTTTTTCTTTTTATCTTCATTGTCAATCTTTTGCACGTCCGGTTCTGTTTTATCTTCAACTTTATTGTCCGTAGCTTCTGGTTTCTCTCCAGAATATTCCAATGCCAACTCTGCCAATACTTGTTCAATGTCTTCGTCGCTGTCATTGCGCTTTCTCCTACCTATTGATGCAAATCACAAATATAATTACAAATATTTTTCTAACAATATTTAAACGAATTGTTTAAATTTGGGTGGTCTTTTCGAACGAGGCCCTTCATATAATTTCGATCGAACTTCTCTTACAGGTAAGTTCGTTTGATCTTCAATTATATTTCAGGCCTCGTTCTAAAGATTAAAACATGTAGTTATTTAGAGGAGACGAGGACAACGACAACGTCGCTCGATCCGACGTAACAGACGGGTGAATCGTGGATCGCGATTGAGGTTAGGTCGAAGCAGACGACACTTGCCACATCGGAACTCGGAGCTCGGAGCTCAGAGCAGCGGCACGCACGCACCTACATGTGTTAAATCGACGTTCTCGAGTCAGTCCCGCTCACCTTTCTTCCCCTTTTTCGGCTGGGACTCCTGCATTTTGGCTCGCTGCTGCAGTTGACGGTGCTGTTCAGTTTTCTTCCCAACGCCCCGACTCCTCTACTTCACGTTTTTCCGACAAGCTGTCTCTCGACTCTCGACAGTCTCGACTCGACTCTCGGCGATCGGGTCGGGTCGGGTCGGCCGGCGGTGGTGCGTGCGTTGATCTTCGGACGAGGAACGGCGGCGTGATACTCGCGTGTCGCTGATAAAAAGTCATGCAGACGCAGGAGAAAAGTATTTCGTGCAGAATCACCACGAGCGTGTTCGCAACTCGCGACCCGGTCTCAAAAGCAGGGCGGTGCACAGCTGGTGGCAGGGTGGCAGGGTGGCAAGTGGCAATGGCAATTGGCACGCACACGTGTGGTGTGTGATGTGGTACGAGGTATGAGAATGAGAGGTATGTAGTAGTGGCGAGACGTAACGCACTGCTCCCGGCTCCCGGCTCTGCACTCTGCACTGCACTGCTCCGCGGCCCGGCCAACCAGCTCACGCGACAGTCACGCATTGGCGAATTGTCGAGAGGAGCATACGTCGCTGATTGGCCAAATGGCCACACCGTGCAAATGCGATTTCGCTTGCCGAATGCCGCGTGCGTTGACGTTCCGTTGGGAACAACCGTCAAGCTTTGACCCGTAAGCCGTAAGAAATTGACCAATTACAGTTGAGTTTTCTCCTCACATTCAACTGTGATTGGTCAATTCCTTACGACTCAAAGTTTACTATACCTATTGTAAACAGTCCTTAACACTTGTCATGGCTGCTCCATTCTCCAAATTATTATGCTGCAAAAGGAGGCAAATAACAAGCGATTGTGACAATCGCCGAAGCTGTATGATTATAATCCAAAAAAATTTGTGTCCTAAAAAATTCTAGCGAAACGATAATTATTATTGTTTTATACACAAAATTGTATACATATATGTAACTTCGAATTGTTATCATTGTATAATCAAGGCAAATATTGATAGGATGATTCTCGACATTATCTTTATTACGATAATCTTTTTTTAATGCTAATAAAATGGAAGATAAAAAATAATTGTTAGTTTAACTTCTCTCTCTCCTCGCTTTATCCGTATCTTATCCACGACAATGTAATGATGTAATGCTCAATAAAATTTTATATATGCCTCTTAATAGTTAACTACGACGTCGACGGTGCTTAAGTTTAAGACAATCTTGCAAATTTATTTTAGGGATATGCATGCTAATGACATACGTATTAACTATAACGTAACGATCGTAATTTATTGTCTTACGTGCTTATATATTGTGTAAAACCGCGCTGCGTCGCGCCGTCATAAATTTACACAAAGCAACACAGAAACCAGAAACTACAGCCATATTAATTGCTGCCATGCTTACTGTAATATTCGAATTCGTAATTTACAGCGCCCGCGAAAACAATTAAGTCGCAATTAATATATGTTACATGCGAGACGCGACTGCTTATCTTAGGATTTTAAGCATTCTAATATTCTTCAAGTTTTTAATTATTTTTTCCATTCTTTCTCAGTTTCTCATAAATAGTCAAAAATAATACCTAATATAATATTCCATTAAATTTTTTATCTTACGAATTTTTATTTGTTATCTTATTATGTATTTTAAAGAAAGAGAAAAAAATTCTAAACTTTTTGAGATATATTTATATATACATATACTAAAATTCCGACACAGAGCAATAAAGATTTTCTTTTATCTAAAAGGGATGTTATCGAAAAAAGAAAAACACTATGTTTAGCATTCGGATATATAGTCGTTCTATTGGTTATTATTATATCTTATAAAATTCTGCCTTCTCCTTGAATTAGTCAATTCTTGTCTATGATTCATAGTAAACACATTTCGACTATCGTCGTCTATAAATAAAACTTAATCGAGAGGACAGTTTATCTAATATTTATTCGAAACTTAAGACATTTTGACGTCGCGTCTCGTACGTACATATCACAACTTTATTTTCATAAACACTGATAGCTGTAATTGTTCAAATGCCTAGCAAAAATAAAGCGTAAAGTCCTCCATTATTTTACGCCCTTTACGGTTATATTCTCTAAAGAGCAGATTTATTGAGAGTTCAGGGAACGTGTGAGAAATACGTTTGAATTATAAAATATTCCGAAGGGTCAAAAGAATGTTAATCGAGTTTCTCTCGATACTTCACTCGATCGATACTCCAAGAAGCATCAATTCTGTTTGTTTTCACTTGTATGACATTTCGGGAAATTTTCAATTTTTGTCAGGGAATGTTATTCTGTTATTGAAGTCGATGTAAGTAAAATAATTAATACATAATTAATTGTTTCAAACATATTACAGTTTACATAGTACATCAATTCATTGGCATTTGTAACTTTTGCTTAGAGTACTATATAATTAAGAAAAAATGATAAAAAGGATAATCTTAATAATTTATATTGCAAAATAACATTTGCTTTTATTATATTAAAAAATTAAATTTAAAAAAAAATTAAATTTATATAATTTTATATAAAAATTGCATATATGTGAAGAATTTCATCATATAACTGCCAGTAATTAGGAACAAGGCGATTAGAACCACATACAGACACACACACACACACACACACAACGCTGATACAACGAGATCATCCACCATCATGAGATTATCGGTTATCGTAATCTTTAATGGTTTCTGATAAATTGAAATAATTTCTACAATGTCAACTTACATGCAATGCAACAAGAAAATATTAGACAGTTCCGTTTTCTTATGTATAGAATTAAAATTCGCGAGTCTATATGTATACTGTGATTTTATTAACTACTCCACTTTTTATGTTATCGTGTTGTATGTATTAACATGTTTTGAATAAATTATAAATTATCGCAAAACGTTGAAACTCGTTTGCTGACTTAATAATCAGGACGATGTTATTTAAACATCTCGTTAAATAGTAAAAGTTTTTCGATTTGTATAATCCAACGTTACATTTCACTCTATTATACATTATTAGATAATACAGCTTTACAATGGCTTTGTGTGTATAGAATATACATTACATAATCGTATTACAAAAACAAAAGGTGCTAGCTAAAATCAGAAAAGAAGAAATAACTAAACGCTATTTTGTTTTTAATCTAAATAAGTACTAGAGATCTTTTCAGGGACTTGAGGTCGTCACGCGAGAACTCGTTCAACTCTAATCTATTTCGCGTGTCGACTGTTATAGACTTTTTAGGGCGGTTTCTGTCGAATCATCAACTTATATAACGATACATGTAATACTGTTGAAATCTCTAAAGCGTCGTATACAATGGCAGCAGGAGTAATGGAATAAGACGTCTGAGTAAGTTGGTTTTCCAGTATAATAGAGTGTAGAGTAAGGCCATAAGCGAAATGGTTGAATCCCATTTCTTACGTCTTACGGCCTTACTCTACGCCCTATTGCACCGGAAAACCAGCTTACTCTGACGTCTTATAATCTTAATCCACTATTCCTGCTGCAATTGTAGACGACGCTTAATGTTTCACGTGTCTTTCTATAAATTTCTTACTACAACTATAGAGATTATTATCGTTGAATATAATAATTATATAATTATGTGAAAATATTCTTAGTTAAATACAATGTAACATGCTAATTTATACAATGTGATAGCATAAAAACTGAGGCAATTATTTAAAAACAAAACTGCATGTATAAATTATATACATACATGTTAATTTCTGCGCGGAGAGAAGCAAACTAGTATTTTTCCATTCTTATCGCATTATTGTTTGTATAAGTGATTTGGGCAAATAGTGGACGCTATTAAAAGTCGCAATAATTTAAATTGTTTATGATATGGTCCAAAGATGTGATCTCACGTTACATCTCGCTATTATCGATTTTTCGTTTTCATAAGATACACGCATATAAATCACTTAGATATTTTTTCTTGCTCCTGTCCGAGAAATGTAGCGGAAATCACAACTCCTTCCTTTCTGTCGCAATTGCCACGAGATTAGGTAAGATGAAAACTGTTAAAAAAAAAGAGAGGAATTATCAGTTGATCCGCTTATTACTGGAACTGTCATTCATTTAGTTGTGAGTTCTTGACTTTGCCAACATCACAGATCACAGGTGACTTTGTGTCCTTAAATTAGCGCTTTAAGTTTATGAAAAGAAACGTCACAGAGGAAACATATCATCAGTATTTTTGCTTGTCACTCGTTTGATGACAAAATGACAATTGCAAATGACAATTAAATGTTATCGTACCGGCAGATTACCTAAGATACGACTGATTATTCAGAATGACTGAAATTATTTTATGGCATGGCACGTGTATGAATTTTGTATGAATTCAAACAAATCGGTAGCGTTATATGTCTTTAGATACATGCAATCGTTTTCTATCCCCACTACCCACTATGTGTTACACATATGACTTAAACGATAATACGTACCTAAAATTGTCAGTCTATCATCGTACGCAGCAACATACAGCCGGTAATATGATATAATAATCGGAGGTGTGTGATCTGTTTAGCTTGTAGACGCCTTTACTTAATAACTTATTAAATCAACCAATCAAAAAACTTAACTCAAAATTTAAATATTAATACATCTAAATGCTAATTACAAAAAACTAATTATAAATTTGCATTAATCTAAAATATTTAAATGCTAAATATATAAAAACTAGAAGAAATTAGGTACACAAAAATAATAGAATTTTAATATAACTTGAAATTTATCGTTACCTCACATAATTAATTTATTTTTCGTAGGTGCTTTAGACTAATATTCATATTGTTCATATAACAAAACAAACAGATAAAAATGCGAGTGCTACCAGTGATTTTCTCTTGGTTATTCTGCCTGGCGATTTGCCATGGATATCGTTTGCTCGGACTGTTTCCCTTTCAAGGCAAGAGTCATTTTGTTATGTTCGAGCAACTGATGAAGGGCCTGGCTAGGAAGGGCCATCAGATCGACGTGGTCAGCAAGTTTCCGTTGAAAAAGCCTTATCCGAATTACACCGATATCGTGACGTTGCCAATGCCTGTCCTTCTGGTGAACAATATGACGTTTGAATTCATGCAGCAATTGCTCGGTGCAAATCCGACGTATATTGTTGCGACGATGGCAGGAAATGAACTTTGCGAAGATTTAGGACATCCAGCGATAAAAGAGCTGGCGCGGCCAAAGAATCCACCTTACGATGCGGTGCTTATAGAGGTATATGATGAAAAAAAGCCAGATTATCTTCAAATTAATCATCTATAATTATATTTAAAATAAATCATTTTTTTTATTATAATGACCATAGGTATAGCTTTAACAAGATTCTACCAACTATTATTATTTTTTCAGTTAATTTTTACACTACATTTTGAGATGGAGTAATATTTTGATAAAGAGTAATTATAATAAGATTTGGAACATATAAGATTAATAAAATTTATAATTTTTATTACATTAAATATAAGATTGAAAAGCAAAGATACTTACTCAAATTCGCTTTTTAAATCTTTGCTTTGCTTAATCTTAATTAAGAAATATAATTTTCTTATAATCTTTTATCAGACCAAAATAGCTAACCAATAAAAGCATTAATTGATGTAGTTACAGTTTTAAATTTTTATATATCAATAAAGCAAAATTATCTAATTATTCGAAATTGTAATTACAATAACAGTATATGTCTTGAAAATGCCGAATCTGAACACTCAATATATTTTTAATATCTTCTGAAAGATATTATATCGGAGTCTCGGTAATATGCGGAGGGTGCAGAAATTTGCTCAAAATTCAATTATTTGAGAGGATGTTTAAGAATATGTAATATCTATATTTTGCAAAATCAATAACTTTGTTAGGCGCGCGAACATGCACGTATATCGAGTACGATCTGCAATATTTGTTGTCAATATCTCTATCAATAATACGTAGGACGTAACTTTGCGTAATATTTAAACATCAACAATTTATTTTATCGGACGTTATTCGTACTAATTGCCTTTAGTATTCCTAGTAACTTTATTTCGCGCGAAATTGAACTCCTAATCGTCTAATGAACTACACGAACAAAAGGTCAATAGACATCACGCAATCATATGCTTCTGATGTAAGAGAAGATTTTAATAAGAATCTCTTCTGGAATGTTGCAACACACAACGTGAACTCATATGACGACCATATACCATGACATGTACAAATTATTCTAAATTATTCTAAGTGACCATGATCTTCAAAGTGGTGATTATAATCCTTTGTCTTGACATTATTAACACATAATGTACATACATTCTTTTATATTTGCCTTTATCTATCAATAAATATTAACAAATAACAATTGTTGCGAGGAATTTTACCATCATATATACCTTTTTTAGGTTTTTGGTGCGCACTGTTTCGGTATCATCGCCCATATATTGAAAGTTCCTTTGATTGGGGTCAGCACTACGTCGCTGTATCCATGGCTACCTCCACTGATCGCTCAACCCGAGAGCCTGGCCTTCGTGCCGAGCAATGTTTTAAGTTTCAACGGCCGCATGAATTTCTGGCAACGTCTGCATAACAGCGTGCGCACGTTCTGCGACAAATGGTATTTCAATTATCTTACGAGACGAGAGCAAGACAGGATAATAAGGGAGCACTTCGGGCCGGACATGCCGGGCGTACGAGAATTGGAAAGGAAGCTGTCGCTGATCCTCATTAACTCTCACATCGCGCTAAATGGGATACAGCCGAAGACACCTGCCGCGGTGGATGTGGGGGGGCTCCACGTCCAGGACGAGGACCAAACGTTGCAGCCAGTAAGTCGGCTCTTACGACTTACGACCCGTTTTCGTGGCCGTTTTCACTTTTTCGATGTAGGCGCATGTAGCCCAATGAATCGCGAGCTCGCGTTTGCTACAGCATAATTTAAGTCTTCAAGTTATAACGCTGATGATGACGCTTGTTTGCAAAACGATAGATAATTTTATATGAAAAAAATCAGCATACAGTATGCAAAATGTTTCTTGCAACTTGTGCGTCTCCAAAGGTTAATGCTTATCGCATGCAGTGTCGCGTGTAGAAAGAACTCTAGTAACAAGAAAAGGAAATTTAAAAATCTGTAAGATTGAAATTTCGCAGCGTGAAATACTATCGTTCTCTCAATTGCGTTTCTCTCAGTTGCGTAAAAGATATAGATTTACTTTATAGATTGCAGCTTATTTAATAATAAATTATTTGCTTATGGGTGCTATTTGGGTTATCGATTGACCATGACCATGATAACTGCATTAGACTTGATATTTCTTCATCGTTTCACGATATCATAAAATATTTCGCAAATAACGTTTTTCTTAAAAGCGGAAATAAAGAATATAGAATAATTTGAATGGTCGCTGTCTTTCCCGCAGGATTTAGAGAAATGGATGAACGATAGCAAAGACGGTTTCCTCTATTTCACTTTTGGCTCGATGGTGATGATCGAAACGTTTCCACGCGAATTCCTAAGAGTGCTTTACGCCTGCTTAGGTAAAATAGCACCCATAAGAGTTTTAATGAAGATACCAAATCCGGAAAAACTGCCGCCCGGTTTGCCCGAAAACATTCACATGTCACCTTGGTTGCCGCAGATTAAAGTATTGAGTGAGTATCATTCTATCTACTTCATGTCTGTCGATCGCGATATATTGTCTATGAAGATTTTATCAGCAGAGATCCGAAATATTAAAATCGCAAATAATTGCAAATTGTCTTTTCTAAAATGAATGAATAAAAATTTGCAAAAATTATAAAACCGTCTAATATGAATGTAATACCGTAGAACATCCTAATATAAGAGCCTTTATCACTCACGGCGGGCTCATGGGAACGCAGGAAGCGATAACGTGCGGGGTCCCCATGATCGGTATACCACTTTTCGCTGATCAGTTCATGAACATCGACGCGTATGTCGCCAGAAACATTGCTTTGCGACTGGACGTTGACACGATTACCGAAAAAAGTATGGACGCAGCCTTAAACGCGATCTTATGGAACCCTCTGTACAGGTAGGCACTAGGCAGATTCTATCTCTCATTTTGCATATTAGCGTAAATTATTATTCGAACAAAAACATACATATATCTGCATACTTGTGTATACTTGAAATTTGTGATAACGCACGTAATCTATTTACGCCTCTCGGCTATTTTTATGCTATAATGCTTGTGTTTAATCATTATCTCGAATTTGCATGTATCTATTCATTTGCATTCGTTGCATTTTGTTATTTTTAATGACAGCTGTCGAATGCATTTTTATAACCCATTTACTTTAGGGAAAGTGCGCAAAACCTGTCCCGACAATTCCTCGATCGACCATTGAATGCTATCGACACCGCTGCTTATTGGATCGAGTACGTCATTAAATACGGCGAGGATTCTCTGCGATCGCCCGCGATGGATCTGACCTGGTGGCAATTGTCTCTCATCGATGTGGTTGGGTTTCTCCTGTTTTGTATAGCAATTGTTGCCGCTATAACGTTATTCATTACGCGTTTCATGTTAGAGTTGATAAAAGACGGAAATTATATCAGTTTGTCGCATTCAAAAAAGACAAATTAATTGTATTAATTATAGATAAATATATTATACGTTTTGCCTTCTATTTATTTATATCTTCGCGAAAGAATTTATTGAAGAAAAAATATAATTATACGTCTCTCTTAAATATATGTATATATAAAGATATTGTTGAGGAATATAAAGAGAGGAGATTTGCATTTTTATTGATGTGTGTGTATAAAACTCTTCGATATTCTCTAACAAATTTATTTATTTATTAAACGTAATATAATTTTTTGACAGATTTCCCGATAGCTTAATCTTACTCGCAAAAGCATACATCGTTTACACGACGTTTCCCATTATGTACAATGTACAGACACATTTATATTATTTTTGTATTATATCAGGCAAATAAATACATTTGCGTCTATAAAGTCTAAGAGTTCATGAATTCTTTTTCATACAATTACTTGGAGTTTTCTTATTTCGGCGCCGAATTGACCTCGATATTGAGCTCTGATGATTTCTGTTCTTATATATGTATCGCGTTTTCCTGTATTATGAAAATTCCGAATAACAATACTCGAAAGCGGAGCGTCAAGTATTTTAGTTTACGTTTAGTATCGGCAATGATTATCTGTGATGCTCACAATCGTCGACGATTGTTCTGATTCTTTCTCGCGACTTGGCATGAAATCGATTAAACGCCACTAATTATATTCTCTGCAGCATTATCGAGTATTATGCGAGCGCGAGTATTATGTCGGCGCTTTCTCGTTCTACCATTCATGAGTATTAAAAAAAATACGCTATATAACAGTATGAATACCATTACACGTTTACCTTTACACCGGTGGCAAATATTCGTTACCCGCTGGTAAGTTACTCTTTCGATAATCGTAACCGTCATCGCTCGAATCTATATCAGGCTCAGATGGATGCATAGTTTGTTTCAGCCAGGTGATGTCGATAGGTGTGAATGTCGCCACCTAAGATAAGCACCAAAGAATCCGTAAATGTCATATAAGATCGATAAATATATCTTATATTTAACGCGCCAACATAAAAATCAAGGATTAAATAAAGCGAATCACAAACGAAGCGTATACTAAATGTTATTTGAGAAATGACGAGTCTTTTGTATAATCACTATAAAATACTGCAATACAGTTATAATTTAATGTAAATTTTGAAAACAAAGTTGCAAAATATCTCATTATTATCGAAGTTATTTTAACGTAATGAGATGTATTGTCAAAACTTATATGGCCATGAAATTAGTTTTGTACCTGATTTGTGGGCAAACATCCGGTGTCCTGACTGTAAATCCCAGCGATATGGTAGGCTCCATTGCCGTCGTAACAAGCCATTGGAGAACCGACATCGGCCTGGCACATGTTGTTGCCTTCGTGCGCTTTGCCACAAATTATATTATGCGCGATATTGATATGGGAGTCCGCATCCAAGACGCGATTTTGACAGACGTCACGCGACAAGAGATCCACGTCGACCATATGCATGATGGCACCAGCGTAATGAGCTATAAAATCATACATTTACGTATTTTTGTATATTTATTCAATCCTATCTCTTTATCAAGCATCTTTATAGTTTCTTGAGCGGTGAAAACCTGGAAACACGATACGCTACCTTGCAATATCGACTTGCCCCATCCTGTCACGATACATCGTGAAGTTTCTTGCATTTGATAGTTGTCGGGAAGACATAGCGTGTTGATATGTAAATTAAATGTCGCAGGATGTTCCAAGAGCAACATAGCGGTATCGTTGCTGGGCGATCCCTCCACGTATCCAGGATGATACTTGATCGTTTGTACATTGATGATCTGGAACGGTAGCGGCTCCTCGTGTTCAAGTTCGTAGCCCAATTTCCATTCCCCGAGTTTCACGGACAGTTCACTTGGTGGGAGTCTGAGGGAATTCAAATACTTTTAATTGCTTAATCAATAGAAAGATTGAATCTGAAGGGCAGACGCATCCATCTGACAAGCAAGAAAATAAGGTTTTCTTGAAGAATGCAATGTTTCTCGATTCTGCCTTTCTGCTAAGTTCGCTCTATACGATTTATATTTCACGGCAAAATTCTATTTATAATTTTATATGTAAATTTATAGAAAACATTCAAAGAATCAAATGCGCATATACATATCAAAATCAACGCACACTCTAAAGAGATAAGAAATTCTTAATAATAAAATTTTATCTCAAATTTCGCGAATTAATAAATTGTCTAGCCTATATGTGTATATGTTTATGTTCTTCTCAGTTTACAATTGAGAATTACAATACTAATAAATCGTTAAAAATTGGAGTTACCTATTTACGCAACTGGCAGCTGTTAGAACGATGTCTGACGATATCAACGCGCCGGAACACAAAATCTTACGTTCTTCCGACCATAAGACCATCGCTTGCCAAGGAATCTCTCCGAATGCCGCGTCGGTATCTCTGAAGTCGGTCGGGCGTTGTCCCTTTTAACGTATAGAAATACAAATAAAATTTCTAATTGCATATAACAAAATCTTTAACTACTCGATATTCTTATTATTGCATTAAATACCACAGTTCACAAACGCCTCTAAGCCATAATCACTTCCGCGGAAGCGCGATACCAAGTCAAGAGTAATTTTACTAAGATACTTACGTAGTTTCTCACTCCACACGGGTTGTTGGGCAATTGCAATCCCGGCACGATGGGAAGAGAATTTTGATCACTTGAAATAGGGTCGTACGGGTTTTCGATGAACGGTACGGGAGTGCTGACCGGATGCGCTATCGGAACTTGGGTTGAGATCGGTAGCACGCGTTGCGGGATCACGTCAGAATCGTCCGGTACCAGGGGCACGACGTTCGTAGGCTGCAGCTGCTCGTGAACGGGTGGCTTGACCGGTGGCTTGGGAATCGTCTTGATGGGTGGTTGCGTGACCGGCTTCGGAGGTCGCACTTTCGCGATATTCAAGAACGTCGGGAAGCCCTGCTCGTCGAAGCCGCCGGTATAATTGGCCGGGAGATTGCCTGTCGGCCACGGGTCCACGTAGTTCGGATCGCGGCAACACTTACCGGCCGCCCCGGTCTTGGAGATCCTGCAGCTCTGCGAAACGAAGAATTCGTAATTATGCGATTCAATTGTTCTATTTTTTTCAATCAAACAATTTATCTTTATTTGACTAAGTGGGACATTTCTATCGTTGACAGAACATCATTACAAACTATGGATGATCTAAAACGCGTGTAATTGTAATATCAACAAGCAAGCGCTTCTAATAATTCCCGTTCGATAAGTAAAACATCTTCTGGCTCAAGTGTCTCTTATGCTACTTACGCTCAACGGAACACGTCGAAGGAGCTGTTTGCTGGTAAGTACAACTGGTTCCGGGGTAATCATTCCCTCTAACGTACAGTACTGCTCTTCTACGCAGAGCAGGGCGGCCGCACATCCCATGTGCACCGTGAATTGGAAGACCGCGGGATTAGAGTTTGCGGAGGCCGGTTTCAACGGAGAGAAGACTGGCTCGCTAGCACTAGTATCGCCTGCAATGATAATTCATATTAATACGTATATTACATGTAGGAACGTAACAAAACAATTTTCTCCAAATTATTTATATAATATTTTAATAGAGGTCCTAATAAAAAAGATCGTGGAAAATGAAAAGATATTGAAGAAGAAGTCGATGTGTCGTCGCATACCTGTTTGATACTGCTCTTGTTGATTCGTACCGGCAGGTATCTGATTGTAATCGATTGGCAACTCTTCGGCCGGCTTTATATCATCGCGAGGCTGATTAGCCGGCTCGATTTCGTAACCATTGTTCGATGATGTTTGCAGTTCAGCGTCGTTTCCTAACGGAGGTTTCAGTTCGGTTACGTCCGCCTGATTATTTTCCCCGTAAGGAACGTACTTCTCATCGTTTTCTAGAGTGGGTTCCGGGTACTGATTATCCTTCAGCACCGTATTAATTTGATCGTTATCATACGGTGAATTATCCAAATCGTATCGCACGGTACAACATACTTCATGGCTGAGCTTGCATTCTTGCACCTGCGTGCAAATATTAGAAGATTATTAAGTCTGAATTGCGAAATGTTAAGCTCGATTAATACTAAAATACGAATGCGGGATGACATCGTTAGTAGCGACAAGAAATAATGAAAAAAGACCGTCTCACCTGTCCTGGTCGAATAAAGCCTTGCTTCAAGGGATGCACGTATCCATCGATACACAGACTTTTAGCCACGCAAACTTTATTTTTACCGTTGCAACTGATAGTGAAGCCGTCCACGGCACTAGGGTAAGGCTGCAGCGTTTGATCAGGCTGATATGCGTAGTCGGGATTAAGTTGCTTCTGTGATTCTGACGGAGCACGCGTTTCGTATCCTTCAAACGTATCTGCAACAATCGCGGTATGACGGTATAACGAGCTATTTTTCTTATTAAGTAAGCGAAGTAACGTCTTACTTTGCTGCGACTGATCCCAATCAAATTGCGCTTGACCAATTTGTTCCGGGACAATGTTCTCTTTGTAGATAGGGTAGACATTGTTTTGAGCTTGGGAAAGACGATCGTCACCGTACCAGACAAGCTTGTCTTCTGAAATGCGGCTTAATTGAAGATAATCGCCGACTTGTTTGAGAAATTACTTTGTATTTTCTTTCATCAATTTTTATACACTTGATTACGGAACAAAGAACTTACAATTAGTAATATAGAAAGAAACGAGATAGTTTCTCGGACTTGATATTTCTCATAGAAAATTGGTAATTAATAATTAAGAAACAATACGAAATCTATTTTTATACACTTTCGGTAGATCGGAAAAAAAGATAAAATATACATCGAATTCCCTGTCTGTATTCTATATATACTCACGTGTCTGCAATTGAGGTGGTAATTCTCCATAGGGAAGTCCACGTGTGTGCGTAGCTAACGCTACTATAATTAGTAGCATTTCTAGCGGTGGCCTCATCGTGGAAATCTGGAAGAGAGCAAAGAAAAACAACATTGATCAATAATCTCGAGTTTTGTATAATATATAATATAATTTCGCCTGCATAAATATAAATGGAGATTCCATTAACATCAGGTACATGTTTCGCACGACGTCTACGAAGAAAAAAAGAAAAAGAAAAAAAGAAAAGATTTTTAAACACCTCTCGCGGCGGTGGCCGCGACTGGTTCTTCTCGCATATCACATATAAACGAGATGTAAAAGTTGTGCAAACTTTTGCAATAATGCTTTGCGCTTTTTTTGCTTTTCTCGACACGCAAGCGGCGCGGTGAATTATTTTAAGACCGAGAAGAATGATAGTGCGTGAAGGTATTATATTAAAATTTTATTACACTGCCGCTTTAGCCCGTTTTAGCAACCACTGACCTGAATGTGAGGAACGGAGCGAAACGGCACCAGGATACCTTCTAGCGGAAGATCGCGTCGGGGGATCGTGGTTATAGAAGTTGCATGCTTCTACAGACGATAAACAAGTGGGAACAAGGCTTCTCGTAGGAGTAATTCATTCATGGCATATCCGTGATCTTCGGCGAGACACCGGTGAGATATAAATTTACGCGGGGAAAGATTAAGTATTGCAAGTGCGCATAGTTTTCTTTTCTTTTTTCTTTTTGCGCATATTTGCACATTTATAATGATCGATACCACCGAAAGAAGATCTGGGGCCTGAGATCTTACGCGAGAAATCATTTAAATGTAACAGCTTCCTTTCCTCTTAATATTTCAGGTTTTTAATGAGAACTCCGTTTCTCCAGTTGGAAGTTAATGACCGAGCCGCAAGATCTGCGTTTTGCGATGCGTGAACCTACAAACTACATAATTCTAATAATAACAATAATAATAATAATAATAACAAGTAATCTAAATGTCGCGCCGATGCTATCTCACAATCAGTATCTCGCAATACGTGCAGTCAGTCACGAACGATATTCATATATCGTATAAACGCATATGTCGCATATGCAAACATCTCAAAATAATTATTCACAAATGACATTCGGTTCGTCACGAAATCTGTAGCTGAATGGCGAGATATGATTTTCGATACCACCTTGTATGTTATTTCTAATATTGCGTAAGCACGTGGGATGGACAGATGATATCAATGGCGAGGCGTATGAATAGAGAAACACTTTCATACTCGCCTTTCAGTATCGCCTGGTATTTTCTAACGATGAAATAATCGCGTTCAAGGATCTTCACGCGATCTTTTTGTTATTTGCTTATTTATATGAAAATTATGCACGCGGTATGCCCAAACCGCGTTTATCGTACGGAATATCGACCCTGATTTACATGCCTGTCGCGTGTAGGTGCTAACACATCCTCCTATCAATGATGTCATCCTACTGGATTAGGTCAGGTCAGGGTCATAGTCGACAAACGAAATGCTTGTTACATGGCAATGTGAAAACCCAATTCTAGTTAATAAATGTCAAATTTTCTTCATTAATTCTATTTAACTAACCGAACGATCGAAATCTCAAATCTCTTCTATAATATGATATGACAATAGTATAATACACTTCTTCTAAAAACTTGCGAGAATCTTAATCCAAACCTAAGATTCTCTCTCTCTCATCAATTTCAACGTTAATTCTAATTAAAGGAAGAGACGAAGAGGATCTCGAATTTGCGATTAGACCCAATGCTTCAATCGTGGAAGATAACGTTATATACTGTCACTGACAAGTTACACGTAAAACGAACGTATAATGTTTAGAGATGTCGACAAAGGTTGATTGATATGTATGTGACGTGTGTTACCGGATTGTGCGAACACATCTATCTGTCGCGATCAAATTTTATGAGTCATTCTCGCGTGCATCTCGTCGCAAAAAAAAGTCGTCGTGGAATTTAGAATCCACGAAAGAGACGACGCGATGAACTCATTAGGGATTTCCCCCAGTCCCGTACGTTTTCGATGATCTAAGGATTTGCTTTGCAATTCAGCGCGTCAACGGTTTGCGTGAGAGTGACTCGCGCTCAAATTACACGCTGTCCGTGCCTAACATTATACCGTAAAAAATTCAATACGACACGCTCGTCAAATATGTTAAGTTTATGCGATGTGTGTGTGTGTGTGTGTCGTGTGTTTCCTTCGAGATAACTTCCAGAGTTACAATGCCGTAAAAAATGCCTTTTCGTGGGAAACGGAATTGAGAGAGAATCACTTGGGTGAAATCAAATTCCTTTAGTCATCGATATCAGTAATTAATTTAAAAAATGTTTGAATCGCTTTTTACTCCTTTTCACTTTCTATTAGAAAAATAAGTTTTTCAACTCCCACTATAGAATAAAGCGTAGTGTTACTACGAGGCAAGTGTGGAATAGAAAGAGATTCATTTTTAGATATATCTAATATTTATCAAGAAATTAAATGGTTTAGTATTGATTGTCTTAATAATAAGTTTGAAACAAATCTTCTATTATTGTAAGTATTAAAAAAAATACAATAAGATTAATATATTTTCTAACAATTCGAATATTATATAGAAAGGACTTCTATTAAAACTTTACGCGCAACCCTTTAACACACAAATTAAATTTCATGAAAATTTAAGATGACACATAACGTGGGCGAAATATCTTTATACGTCTTCTGGTCCGTTTCATAAATGTTTATTAGGTTTTATTATTTGCAACATTTTTCGCTATTAAAAAAAACTCGAATAATCCAGATGTTTGTAATTTTTTTTCTCCAGGCTTTCGCGACGTCTCGCAACAGGAATCTTTGCTTTCCACTTTCGAACCTAAGGTACCGCTTCCCGGTTGTTAAGGCGGCGATAAAAATAATAACGCCGATCGCGAAGGATTAACGGCGCCGGGAGAAAGTGCGAGGTATAGTCGAAACACCGAAAATTCCCGGGGCGTTCGATTTCCATGATAAGCGCCACCGGTGGACACCGGTAGGGACGGACCGTCAAATATTATTTTGCAAATGTATCCTCGTATCGCGCACTTTCACGTATACATTAGTGCTACTACTTTCTCTTTCATTGAATTACACATATTACCCGAGTCCGAGTATCGCACAAATCAGACTTGTCGAATTTCGTGCGTAATCCGGCGACCGTCCGGCGCGGCGGCGCGGCGGCGCGGCGTCCTAATGATTCGTGTATGGATTCGAATTGAAATTAAGATCCGGGTACGAGCTCTCTCGTACGTATACATATCTCCTCGTTTACCACGGAAACCATTTGAAAATTCTTTTTTCTTTTTCCTCTCTTCTTCCCCTACCCCTCCTCCTACTCTCTTTCTCGCTCTCTCCCTCTTTCCTTTCTGTTACGGCACACGAAAGCGCATAAATAATCCGCTGATTTTGACGCATTTCATCGAACGTTTTTGTAATGTGGGTGTAATATGCATACAGCGTAAATACTTAAATATTCACGTCCTCATTAATAACACCAACCGCGCCGATCGAATAGCTGCCAAGTAGAAACTTACTTTCGATTTGTCAATCAATAAGTACTTTCACCGATATACCCGTCATCTTGCTATACATATACATAATTAATACAGCCACATAATTAACAGTCGGATATTGATTTGGTTATTTTCTTACGAACATTTACAGCATTACTTCAGCTTCAGAAAGAGAGTAACTTATTCCAGATAATAAAATGCACACATATTTAAATAATTCTATACGTGTGATAAAAAAAAAGGAATAGTCTACTGACCTCTATAATTGTAAGTAATTACTCCATAAAAAGTTGCCTCCAGTTCTAATTGCCAGTTTAATTAGAATTTTATGTCCTTAATTTTTCAACGTCTAGTATATTAGCAAGATTTCCCAATTGTTGCGCGTGTTGCTGCATTTAACGTCCAATAGCTAAAGCTGCAGATCTAAAGCTCTATTAATCTTTGAATGCTCCCTGTTTCTACACTGTGACATTTATAATTATTCTTTTAAGTATATATATATATATATTTATACTCATAGGAAAACGGGCCAAGAGAGTAGACTTTAACGTGTTCTCGTAAATGGTACAATCGGTTTACGTCGCTATCTAAGTTTCACTAATTTTAAATAAAAGCTCTATCGACCAGAAGGTAACTTAAAAAAAAAATTTAAAAAAAATATATATATATGTACATATAAGCTCTTTCTCAGCCGAGCCTTTCGATCTATTGGGTGAAATGTCAGCGCGATGCGCCTGATATTTTGACTAGCGCCTCATCAATCAAATTCGAATAAAGGGATATCTCTTCTTTTCTCGTAGCGATTAACAAATAGGCGTCTAATGAAGCTATAGTCTGCCCCTCGTTGCGTCAGAGCGAATACTTTGGATTAATGGTACGCCGAAGAAAAAAAGATCGGTCGCGAGTATCGTTCGGTTTCCCTGTCCGGTTACTCGTCTATAGTACTATGCGGACATATAATGTTTCTGGGTCGTTTGAATTCCAGGCCGTACGTGCACCTCGCAAAAAAAAGAAATAAATAAAAAAAGCGATCCTGTGGCATTCATCGATCTAACTTTCCAAAACGCTTGTCTGATAGCGCGATAGCTCTGTTCAGTAACGACGTTATCCCTCGATCTCATATCGCGACCTCCTGTAGGTGAAATTCGGCGACAGCCAAGATGATATGATACGCGCAATTGAAAATGCAAAGCACATAAGAAAAGATAAAATACCGCATTCTTTTCTTCACTTTTTTTGTGCAGGAAATATCTAAATGTCTAATTGCAGTTCTTTATAGTCCCACTCTATCGTATTGCGCCAGCAGCAACCGACGTAAATCTCAAATATCCTTGTTTGATATTATAAAATCGGCAATTTTACACCAAGATTATCATTTAAAAAATCAAGGTGAAGATACATATCACCCTTAATTCTGATCCATTCATAGTTCTTATATACCTAGCTAGATTATTATACTAGATATATACTATACTAGATATATACTAGAATATAATCATATATTCGGGTGTAAAATCACAATTCCATAATTATCTTTA